CATAAACAATCTTTTTTCAAATAAATCACGCTACCAGTACCTTTTTAAAAACACTCAACTGTCATTATTCAAATTAAATCGAACCACATCCGTTCATAGACTAAACGGCTATTTTATTTGAGTATTCAAAATGACAGAGAGGCGTGACTCTTGTCACAAATGGTGGCTGAATGACGAAATGACATCAATCGGTCAGTAGGCGGGTCTAGTACTGGTTGTCATTTAAAACAACAAAAAACAAGTGACATTTAGTAGTAACCTGTCAGGTACCGTATTTTAATGATTGAGTTGTTAGTTGAAAAATGAATTAATTATTGCTTCTGTCCTGGCTGGTATGATGTCAGTATTTAGCATTATGAATAGCCAGTGCTTTGAATGCAATGTTCGATTTTCAAATGTTAGATTTTGTTATTAGAATTCGGTTATGGATTAAATTGTTTTAAAAAGTATCAGTCATCATATCAGTACACCTATTAGACTTTATCACCATAGAGTTTTTTAATTTAAGCTATAGAGGTCGTTTCTTTACATAATCTTTGTAACTAAAGAAAGTTAACCATAGAAGTCTCAACTGATTAAAAAAGAAATTCAGTATAGAGCATAGAACAGATCTATGGAATTAGTAACGAAATAAAGATCGAAATTTCTTCTGTCTAAATGGATTTTATCAACAAAATATCAATATTTTTAGCCACTTCTTGTCAAAATATAGCATAAGCGAGCGACATAACACAACAATAGTAGTTATTCTGGACAAGGAGTCATCGTGAAACATAGTCACATTTTTTATAACTTGAAAACAAACCGGTACAAACTTGAAACCAGAATTAAGCTCATATATCTAAAACGTCAACTGTTAACGACTTAATTTGCTTAATTTCTTACTCGAAAGCGCAACTCCACTGTCAATTAAGGTTAAAGAATAAATCAATTTTATTAACAACATGCTGATATAAATTAAACAGATACCACAAAAAAACAGATTATTTTTTACTATTTGACATTCGAATTAATGCACTTCCAAATTCAAATTGAGAACTGTCAACGCTGTCATAATAAATCATAGACACGGTAAAGTCTATGCAACCTTTTCTTAAAAAAATGCTGCAGCAGTATTACCATCTAAAAGAGCTACTTAGAAAATCGAAGGCAGAACCTATCACAAAATAATATCGAATCTCCATACATTATACTATTGATGGGGTGAACGACATATAATTTATATACCTACGTATAGTCGATAGTTCCACCCTCTACCTTCCGACCCTCCAACGCATGTATACATAATATATAGAGGTACATGTGAGTAGGGTTGAGGACAAAATCGATAGGGCTAACTCCTTTGTAAACCAACGGCTTTGCACGATTTTTGAACTGTCAACTTTTTTTCTGGAATTCTTAGTTTGAATTTGTCGAACACTATTTGTGAAATTGTCATATTTTTTTTTCAAAAATTTAGTCCATTCCTTAATGGAATAGACTAATTTTTTTTTTCTTACTTTGGTGGCAATTTTTGGTGTATTTTATTGTTTTGCTAAAACAATGAAATATTGTTATGTTGTAAATATTAATAAGATCACAAAAAAACGGATTGAGACCTGTTTTGTTTTTTGTTATTGGACATTAATTGTCAACTACAATAAGAATACTTGTCTAAGTAAAACTTCGTTTAAAAGTAAGATTAAGCTGTAATCAATATATATATGTTACTTTTCATACTTTTTTATTTAATTCCAATGACAATTAAACGCTTGACTTATTTTTGATATTAAAAATTATCTTAACAGGGATAGAACCGCATTCACCCGCCGATGACAACGTTATTTCGAAACAAGTTTCTGTTGACGATAAAAATAAATTATTTTTTATAAAAATAATTGTCTTGTCTCATAATGTTGATTGGACTTTTAAAGGCTATATAACATATCAAAGCATTTATATTAACTAATCTCAAACGTCAAAATTCAAATTGTCGATTGATTCGTTAGAGCTAGGGGCTTCTTCCAAAATCTGTAAAAATACCCGTTATCACCAACCTCTCTTAAATTTTAAGGAACTCTTAAGCTACGTTACATTTTTTTCACTTTTTGAGAGGGGAAATTATCCAATGATTTCTCTCGCCTGGGGTCTGTCTGTCAGGCGAAGAGTCCGCCCAGAGTCTGACAGGGAGTGTCAGACTCTTACTGACTAAAAACCACCCCGTTCCTACTCCTGCACTTCGAGCCGGAGTCCCGGCAACACGTTAAGTCCTCCGCGGCTCCGCATCGGCATCAGCCCTGATCAGCCCCATCCGTGGTGGTCTGATGGCTAAGTTAAGATACTTTGGTGACATTTAAAGAAATTTTGGTTTTTACTACACACTAATATTATAAATGCTTTGTTTGCTTGTTCGTCCGTTAAGCACTCTGAAACTACTGAAGGGATTTTGATGATATATGATGTATGATCTGGCTTAGGTGATAGGATACTTTTATCAGGATTAAATGCTCTCATGGAATAAAACAGGAATATGCGGGCAAAGCCGTGGGTTGCTTATAAAGTTTCAAACTTGATCCTGCGGTCACTTACTTATTGGGTTTATAATACTATAAATACTTAATACAATTGTGTCCGGCTCTTATCAACAAATCTACATCTATTAAAATGACAATAACGAAAAGATATGTGAATAAAGATTGTATTGTGTAAATATCTACACCTCTGCCTAGGTGTTTTAGGAATTATAAATTGTTACAAGTTTAAATAACATAACATAACATAACATCACGCCTTTTATCCCCGAAGGGGTAGACAGTGGTGCACATTATGTCACTGTACAATGTAACACCTACTTTTCACTATCTATGTTATGAGTCCCATGTAATAGGGGGTGAGCCTATTGCCATATACCGGACACAATTCCAGACTCCGTGCTACTACTGAGAATTTTTAAAAACAAGTTTGAATAAAGTTGTAGATTAAGTTATTTATATCTTTGTAACATTAGCCCGTTGCTATCCATACCTAGTAAAAAAACTCATCAACTAAACGTGCTATACATTCTTAAAACAAAGTAGTGCAACATTTAATTACTTCAAAAACCGTTCACCGTCAATATTTTTTACACCTCACAGTTAATTTATAGCATGACCAAAAGAGGAATCGAACGCGTAGCTATTTATTTAACGGCAAAGTGAGCTCGTAAAAATTTATTCTGTTGTTTGTATTTAAACGTTACCTAATAAAGAACCTTGTTTAATCGACTATGATAGCTACTGACGATTAATCGATAATTTCAAATTTCGAAAGTCGTCAATTTTTAATTTTAGAATTTATTACTCATCGACGTACACCCTGACTTTATGGCTGCGGCTGTTAAAACTAAATTGTCTATGGCACGGCATATCATTCACAGAGGTCGTTTGATTTTATTGGCCTCTTTGTTCCCTCAAACCTGTAGCCGTTAATTAACTTCATTGTTATTTATGATTTAATTTAATCGCTGACTTATTGGATACTTAGTATTTTATTACAGTTTTTGTCATTAATATCTGTATATTTTCATATCTTAATTGCTACTTCTTGTTCTTTAATGACGCTGTTGACTAATTAGGAAAAAACTCACGCAGCGCCGATACGAATTTAAACTTGATAGTTATTTAAAAAATGTTTTGAGTAGTAGTATAAAGAACTAGAGATTCTTTTTTTTAAAAGGGGCTTTGTAAAATCAATAGTTTATCGAATTCCCGGACATGACGAACTACAAAACAGTAGCCTATAGGATCAGGGGTGATATTATTACGACGGACCCCACCCCCGTTGTCAATCGATCAAACATGTGCAAACAGTATAGACTTACACAAAACGACTCAACTCGCAAATAAACTTCAGAGAAAAACACACCGTGAAATAAAAGTGTACGGTTGAATTTTGAACGATAATGTTACCATTACGAATGTCTCGCTTTTGCAATTTGAACATATTTCGCTAGTACATAGGAATATGGTAAAATGTATTGACAAATATATCGAGTTACATTTTCCATTAGGATATTGTTTATATCAATTTATAGGAGTACTCTAGCTGTCTCATTACTAAGAAATGGCTCGAATTATGTCATAGTATGTTGGGACTGAAACTTAACCCTCTTTTGCGAACGGTGTTTCTTTTGACGCTTTTCTTTAAAGTTGGTATTTTAGACCTATATCACCAATTATGTTACTAAGAATTACTTTTTGTGTTACGATGAAGGCGATTCCTATTTTTGTATGAATTGTATAATATGTAGTTTTTTTAAATACAATTTAATGGTCCAACACGATCCTAACCTTTACCTTCATTAAAAGCATTACCATTAAAGCTAAACCCGTGTTAAGTTATTAACATTTTACTAATCTATCCACTTCACACGCACTTTATAAATATAGCCTAATAAAAACTATTAATAGCTAATATCTAAACCCTCTACATTAACACAATGACTAAAGAAAAACGACCCCCACTAACACCGAACAAAAAACGTTAACCTTATAATCTAAGACAGTACTTTCCGCTCAATAAATACTTTCGCAGTCACAACTAAGTCGGTGTAACCATTACTCACACGACACGAAAATAGCGATACTTTTTAACTGATAACAATCGCTAAACGATACACAATTTCTTGATAGCCATCAGATATCGACTATGCTATAAATTTTCCTTTTTATTAATTAAAGTACCATGTCACACTAACGAAGTATCCATCTTTTGACGCACTTTACATTTTAACTGACTTCCGATGCACATAAAACAATCAGGATGTATTTTTAAAACGTTATTTTAGATATATAGATAACAAGACAGACCTTTAAAATAGAATATGTATATTAAGTAGTTGCAACGTAAATTATTGACTGTTTTGTTGGTACATAATTATGAACAGAAGGTTGACAGTTAAAAATGGTGAATTCTATTTACATTAACAAATCATATTACACTAATTAAAAACACTTTTATAATGAAAGAAAAAGGAAACAAACCTTCATTAAGAAAAAAAATACAGATTCACTTTCTACACCCGCCATCTTGACCACGCATGCGCACAAGACACATCACACTAAAAACCTTGATTGTAATATTTTTAAATTTTATAATATGAACAGAAACACGTCTGTGCAGTTTAGTTGTACAATTTTGAATGCGACCTCATTCCCTGACCTTTATCTCACGTGAATAAATTATTACCATTTTTGTCCCCTATTGCAACGAAAGGGTTAGTTCTATAGAAACTCGTGAGCCTTACGGCCCGTGAATTTGCATATAATTTTTAGTTTATTATTTATGTTTGAAAGGGGTATTGTGTGGTAGTTTTCAGCTTAGGGTTGATGTATTGCCAGTATTAATATGGATTACGTAGGTTCGTCGTGTTAAGTTTGGGATGCGTATGCGCACCGTTTTAACTGTCATGTGTCAACGTTGGATGTCATTCTTTGATCGACCTCGGTAGGATACGGACTGATTTTTATTTAGGAGCTTATTGCTTGCTCTTTAATTTAAATCATCGCTACATTTGAAAACTCGTAACTATATCATTACTTCTTTATTATTTTTGTTAATTTCATAGATGTTTTACATATTATTATTTAATAATAGTTAAATCTAGTTTAGTGACAAATCTCTTATAGATACATAGGCACAATTCAAGACTGTATTAGATACTTCTAAGGCCTATAAAATCAAATCACGTAGGAGAACCTGGCATTCTTATAAATGCCTAATTTATCTAGGGTTAAAACAAAACGCAAAGCATAAGAAAGTATGCAATTACGTCCATGTAACTTCTGTTTGTCTTCACTCATTTTGAAAAAAAAAAACAAAAAGACATCGACACAAACACAAGACATTAATTAAAAAAAAAAGGCTCAAACGTCAGAACACCCATCGCTAAACAACCATTTCATTGTCTATCAACATTCATAAAACATCAAACTTTACTATTATTATTAAAATATTATTATTAATAATAGAGATACGATCACATTTCTTATTATCTTTTAAATTATTATCAACCACAATGCGTGTGATCAGGCGGAAGTAGAAATCTTTTGTAACAGACGTTTAAACCCTTCCGGTGTAACGATATCTTGGAATTAGGGGTCCCTGTGACCCCTTGTCTATTCATTTTGACCCCTGTGTCTGTTTGGTGTCTATGGTTATCTGTGAGAAGTAGTGTCTTGAGATTTTTGCGCATTTAATTTTGTTCTGCCTTTTGAAGTGAAGTTGGTTTCTATTTGTTTTGTTTCGTGTTTAATTTTTTTTTTATATTTTATGAGTCGATGTTTAGTCAGTATATCGCCTGGCATTTTTTTCGATATTTGAAATAAGTTTGGAAATTACTATTTGAGAGTAAGGTTGATATTTTTTTTAGAGTAAGTTTTAAGTGGTTATAACTAGTCTAATCTATATAAGCTAACGTTTACTTTTAACAGTTGATGCAGGTTCTCTTTCAACCAAATTTTTACTTCTCATTTTGAATATCTTCTAAAATTAAAAAAAATATATATACTAACACTCCCTAAACTTGACAGAAATCAAAATATCGAACACGAAAACATCAATCGACATTAGAACCGTCACGTCTCCACTTACACGCATTTAAAAAACCAACAATTCCAACAAGTTCTTCGCAAATATTTACCAAATTAAAAAAAGAATACAATACAGGCCATTATAGGCAATCATCGAAGTATCGGTTATAGAAAAAAAAAATTGGCAAAAAAAGCCACACACAAGCGGCACCAACAAAACAAACATTTCACGGGTTTGTGGCAACAAAAAAAAACTCGTGTCTATGCAAGGGGTCTATTGTACCGAATTTGCCTAACCATTGTTTAAAATACTGATTTATAGGCTATTAAACCCTTTCTATTAATGTATGTATAGATAAATTTATGCGCATTATTCCTTGTAAAAAATTGTAGTTATATTTTATCTGTGGCATAACAAAGGTGTTTTTTTTGTTGTGAAAGGGGTGCGTACGCATATGTTTAAGATCTATACGACATCAAGTCTTGAAATGTTATTATTATAATTTAACGGGTTTTTTAATGGTAAACAATAGATTCATTAATATTACACGAGTTATTAAAGTCAGTAATTTATTAGATCGTAAAATGTTTAAGGATTCATAGAAATATGTGTAAGTGCTACTTTGTTAATTAATACATGTGTCATAAAAATATATTAAAAAACAAATTTAATTGGTGATAAAATTGTGTAATAAACTGAAGTGTTACACACATGCCTGCTCTTTGAGATAAAAAAAATAATTAGTATCTATTAATCGCAACTCATTACGTGAATTTTCTAGAACACTCTGGTCTGTAACAACAAAACAGCTACAGGATGAACAAATTTCAACACAACCATAAAGAAATTCCGCCATACTTACATAGTTTTAAAAACAAAAAAGTCGTTATATTTAAAATGGCAATGCCCTACTTTCAAAGGCAATCCCGGGCAACTTTCACCTATTCCCGTGTAAGAAAACGAGTAACAAAACTAACGTCCCTGAACTGAATAAATGGTGTGAGAAAAAAGTAATTTTCATTCATAAAACCATTTTCTTAGAAGCGAGCGATAAGGACAAATAGATGGTGTCGATAGCGCTCTGTCCTGCTTTAGCACACTCATTTTTAATGCACTTTCCCTGAAGAGGTTATTTTATACTTCTTGGAGACTTGCACGCTAGTATACGTATTTTAAGTTTTCTTTGCGAAGCTTTCGTGTATCTTGTGTACTTTGTAGTGTCTTGTCAATAGGTTGGAAGTGGTTGATGTCTCTTTTTAACGTGATGAACTTCTTGACAAAGTCTTTTACCTAAGTTATTTCCACTGTAAAAATGATCTCAAAAGCGATTTTTAGGTATCTTAATTTGGCACAGGCTTAATTTTTATTCCAATATACAGGATGGTAATATTTGGGATAAAACAAATATGTAGGATTTTCTTCCAACCACGTTACTACAAAGTAGAGCACCCATAAACATGCAAAATCACAGGACATTAGCCGCATCATGCACACTCAATAAAGTCCTATTTAAATAAACCAATCAATTGTAACGATTTTAGAATATCGAACGTAATCCTTTGAGTGGTACTCGATTCAAAGGGATGCTACCGTTGTCCGCATTGTGCCATATAATTTATTGTCACCGTACAAAAGTATGGGATGTTCTACATTTTTTGGAGTTTAATGGGTCATATTTTAAATGTTTGACTCTTTGATAGCTGTTGAATTTTTTTTGGATCAATTCGATAGGTAAGAATGTCTGTTCACAGTGAACCGTTTGGTGTCTTCTTGTTCGATTTATGAAACTTACCGATTATTTTACAGTTCTACCGATTCATTAAGCTTTGAAGAGAAGACGATTTTAAAGAGTTTTTTTGATATATTTTATCGTTTTCTTTCTTCTAGTAACCTTAAACACACAACAAATATCACTTCTCGATGTAGGCACTTGTCAAAAAAAATTAAATTTCGAGACCAAAATCCGCACTTACATTACCAAATACCAAAACAAAATTAAGTTTCTAATGCCCGAATACTGTAAAAACTACTAAATTTTCAGTTGTAGGTGCTTAAACATCGTGCTATCTCTGTCATTTTACAAAGAATCTGTAGAGACAGAACTATATATACTTAAGCGCGACTTAAAATTGAGTAGCGTTTCATTATTTCGGCATTAAGACAACAGATATTACACCAATTTGACAGGAACCAAATCTATCCAGAGACAAGTAAGAAAAAAACCAAGATATATAAGTAAGCAAGAATCACTTCAACATATTTCCACGAAAAAATAAAGCCATCGAACTAATTCTCCAAACCACTTCAGGGTGGGAGAGCAAAAAAACTTTCCTTAGTCAAAATTATAACAAATACCAGCACACGAGTCGAAAAATGGCTGATATCTCAAGGAAGCGAAACGGAAACTTTTCCAAAGTATGTTATAAATAAAATAACGTATTCACAAGCGTCGAATGCGCAACTTACGGTACCAAAGTTGGGAAACCACTCCAGGAGTCGGCGTGAAGTTTTACCAACAATATATTTGTCTGCTCGCCAACCGTATGTCGGTTGCGCTGAGGGCATGGTGATTAGCGGAGCGGTTAGAGGGTTGACTAGTGTTATTTATGAGTAAGAAGAGTTCAAAAAAATTAAAAATACCTACAAAAACTAAGATTCGGTAATTGTAAACATTGCATTGATATATTTTCAATATTTTTAACTCTGATGTTTTTGTTAAACAATGACTTAAACACGATTTCTTTGCACTTTTGCACACAATGAGTTGAAGTTCGAAAAGTTATTATTAATTCATTTTAAAGGTCATTAATCATTATAGAGATATTTTGACATCTTTTACTTGCTACGTTTAACCTACTTTAAAAAAGATAGATTTTCTCTGTTTGACCTGTATGTATGTAAGTACATATGTGAACGATTATCTAGCGATTGTCGGCTCAGATTTTGATGCCATTTTCAGAAAAGTATTTGTTACACATAGGAGAAGATTTTCTTATATTAATTATCTGACTTCAAAGAAAGAGAGGGTGGAAGTCAGTTTTTTTAAACGTAGTTTTTAAAAGATTGATTTTAAAACCCGCTCCCGCTACCTCTCCGCTAATCTCAGCGAAAGCAACCATCTAGAAAGGCAAACAGACAGTCAAACCGGACTTGGCTCCACGGAGCCACTTCACGCGAACATTTTAGCAAGTAAACTTAAAATATAATAATATTTCAAGACTTTCGTGAAACTTGGCCCATTTTAGAAGTTTCGGGATATTTTTTTTTTTACTTTTCCAGTAAAACCATTTTCGTGTAGGAAGATGTAGGTAGGTGATATTTTCGTAAAATGTTCGTGAACGTTTGGTGGGATTGTTTCGATGTTAATTTTTTTTTAATAATATGTCGAGGACTTTTGCTAACATGTTTACTATTGCAAGGGTGTAATTACATGCCTGGTTTAAAGTATCTACCTATGAAGGTGTACTCAAAGTAACACCTATTTTAAACATCTTGTCTGGAGTATATTCAGTGACTTTCGTCGTTATTATGGACACTAATTAATAATGAATCCTTAATCTGATATTTAAAGCTA